GCTCTAATGTGCAGTAATGCTGAGCTCCAAGCCTGAGACACAGGGGAGGCGCACCAGGGTGGCCAGAGACCATGGTCTCAAAGCTACTGCCCCCTGCAGGCCCCTGAGACTCAAGCCCTCCCTTAACACATGGCGTGTGCTGACACTCAAATCTGAAGCAGCCACTGTAGCCCCTGGGAGCTTGCTAGAGCCCACCCAACACGTCACTGCAGAGCCTGTGTGTGAAGAAGGTTCTGATGCTATCACAGCCTGAGAAGTGCTGTCACAGAGTGAGCACTGGGGGCAATGCCTTCATTCCTGAACGTGTACAGTGTGATCAGTGAATACAGTAAATGTTATAAAACGTTTTTAAAATTTTAAGGATTGGGAATATAGCTCAGAGGCACAGTGGCTACCTGGCAAGTACAAGGTCCTGAGTTCGATTCCAGGTACCAAAAAAAAATTTTTATTATGGTATGCAGGGCATAATGGCTCATGCCTGTAATCCAAGGACTTAGGAGGCTGAGACAGGAGGATCACGGAGAATTTGAGGCCAGCCTGGGCTACACAGTCAGTTCAATGCCAGCCGGATCTACATAGTGAGACCCTGTCTCAAAAAAATAATTTATTACAGTAAAAGATATGTTGCCAGGAATCCCCCTCAAAATACTCTCCTTTGCTGTAAACACACTTAGCCATCATTCTTTTACACTTGCTGAAGCAGTTCTGGAAGTCCTCTTTCATTAGAGTCTTTAGCTGCACTGTTGTGGCTGCCTTGGTGTCCTGAATCAATTCCAAACATTTGTCTTTCACGGTCATTCTGACTTTGGAAAAAGCCAGAAGTCATATAGTACCAGATCTGATCTGATGCAGAAGGTGGATTGGGACGCACAGTAATGTTTTTCTGAGCCTGCATTTCCATTGAAGGGCAGCCTTCACTGTAGTTTTGATCATGTCTCATGAAGACACTCACAAAAGAGGACTTCCAGAAGTGCTTTGGAAAGAGGTAAGCATGATGGGATAAGCATGTTCAAAGTAAGGGGGATTATTGTGAGAGGGATTAATAGCAATGTGTCTTTCATTACAATAAATTTTATTTAAACCCTTACCATGTATTTTGATCATACCTCACAAATTCCAACTTCACTGCTCCCTTAGACTTTCCAACTTGAATCCCCACCCCACCCAGTTCCTGGCTCCACACTAAAACCTTCAGAACCGGTTAAGTCTCAGCCAGTCCCTACCTCCTCCTGGGATCCCATTTTTGACCCTAAGGAGTCCTGGTACGTGACACCAAAGTCCCTAGCAAGAAAAAAGAGAGCTGGAAGTTTACCCAGAATGCAACTGAGCAGGACTGGATGGGGGGAGGGGCCGGCATGGGCCGGAAGGCGGGTGAGCAGAGAGGTAGGGCCTGGAGGCCAGGAGATGGAGCAGAGGATGAGGACAGCAAGGATGAAGTCTGTGGTTTGGAAGACTCTGTCTGCAGACACCAGCCGCTGACCAGGCTGCACAACTCACATGGTGTTGAACCCATACTGGATTAGAGTTCCACCTTGGTGTATCATAACGCATTCTAGCCTCTACCTGAGGTACATCCTTAAGTGCTACCCAAGGACAAGCGCCCCATCCACAGCGGCACTTAGCTTCTTCTCTTCACGGTTGGCCTCTGTTTCCTGATCCATTTGTCTGTGGCCAGTACCATCTGAAGCATCCCAAGATCTTACAACAATAGGGGTCTTGAGATGGTCTGAGAAAGACAAAAGTTCACTTGCCAGAGAGAAGGAAAGACCAAAATGAGAAGAAAACAAAAGAGAAGTTGGAAAACCGTATGCACTGTGAAGGAAATCTAATCTGCACAAGTCTGAGACTTTTAAAGCATCAGAATATTTTTTGGGGGGGCTGGGGATTTAGCTCAGCGGCAAAGCGCCTGCCTGGCAAGTGCAAGGTTGTGAGTTCGGTTCCCGGTACCGGAGAAAAACCAAAAAAAAAAAAAAAAAAAAGAATATTTTTTGGTGAGAGCCATTTGATATCCAGGAAGCCTGTGGGATTATTTTACTAGTGTTTGTTAATGTCTTTATTTTCAACATCAGGAAGTTGTATTCTGCCAGACAGGATTACGTGGACATTAGGTTGAAGCCTATGAGATTCCAGAAAACTCTAACGTGGCCCTAGTCTGGGGGGCCCTCCAGCCGACGCAAGTGCCTCCTTTGTGGCCTGGATTTCTCTCCAGGATCTCCTCCACCTGTACTTTCCGAATCCAAATGCCTGGATCAGCTAGGGTTGCCGTAACAGAGAATCACACACTGGGTGACTTGAACACTAGAAACTTTATTTTCTCACCATCATGGCAGTAGGAAGTCCATGGTCAGGTGCCTCAGGTTGGTCCCTGGAGAGGACTCTCTTCCTGGGTTACGGACAGCCACCTTCTCCCTGTGCCCTCGAATGGCCATCCTGCTGTGTGCCTGCTCAGGGTGTCGCTCCCTCTGCACACGGTGACCTCAGTCCTGGTGGACTGGGCCCTACCCTTGTGATCCCATCTAATCTTCCTTTACTCCTTTCATGCCTCTCTCCACATATAGCCACCTTAAGGGTCAGGGCTGCAATATGTGAATTTGAAAGGGAATGAAGTGAGTCCATAACCTCAGGGCTGAGGAAGGACGCCCTGATCACTCCAATTGTGCCCTGTTTGCTACCGCCCTTAGGGAGTCTCCTCACCTTCAACGTAGTCCCCTCCTCTGTAAAGATTGAATTAGGACAAAGAAACTCTCTGCTGTTCCTGGCTTGGTACGATCCAGCTGAGTCAGTCTATCTATCTATCTATCTATCTATCTATCTATCTATCTATCATCATCTATTTATCTGACTATCTACTTACCTATCATCTTTCTATTATCTATCTATCTATCTATCTATCTATCTATCTATCTATCTATCTATCTATCTATCTATCATCTCTACTGGGGATTTAACTCAAGACCTTCACACTGAGATACATCCTCAGCCCTGCCCTCCGGTTTTTCTTTTAATTTTGAAACAAGGTCTCACTAAGTCACTAAGTTGCCCAGGCTGGGCTTGAATTTGTAATCCTCCTGCCTCAGATTCCCAGCGTACTGGGATTAAAGGCATACACTACCACACCTAGCTTCACATAGCCTTTTTATGATCCATTTTTCTCCTATCTGAAAAAAGACATCAACTCCACAATAATAATCAATCCAATTAAGAAATGGACAAAGTACCTGAGGAGACACTTCTCCAAAAAGGAGATACAGACAGTGAGCTCATCAAAAGATGTTCAGCATCCCTAATTATTAGGGAAATGCAAATCAAAACCACAGTGAGATACCATTTCTCACCCATAAGGATGGCTATTATTAACAAACACGATGACAACACTGGAGAGGGTGTGAAGACATAGGAAGCATTACTCACTGCTGGTGAGGGTGTGAAATGCCAATATGGAAAATGGTTTGCCAATCTCTCCAAAAGTTAAACATTTAATTACATCCAATCCAGCAATTTCATTTCTGGATATATGTCCAAAAGAATTGAAATCAGGGACTCAAAGAGATATTGTGCACCCAACTTTACGGCCACATTATTCACAATAGACAAGAAACGGAAGCAACCCAAGAAAAGGAGACCCTGACACATGCGACAATAGGGATGAAACGTGAGGACCTTACTGAGTGAAATGGATAAATACCACAGCATTCCACTCAAATGGGTCTTCGAATACTAGAAGCTAAATGGCGGCTACTGGATGCTAGGGACTGGGAAATTAGTGTTTAATGGACTGGGGAATTAGCGTTTCGGCTTGAGATGGTGAAACAATTCTGGAGATGGAGCTTGTGATGTTACACAACAGTACAAATGTACTTAATGCCACTGAGTTGTGCATTTAACAATGCTGAAAATAGCAAATTACACATCATATACAATTTACTACAATTCAAAAAATAAGTAAAAAGGGGCCATTGGACCTAGGGTAATGTGTCATCCCGCTCTAAAATGCTATGTTTCTTGGTGTATAGAAGGAGGTTCCCTTGTTTCCTTCAGAAAATGACAAAACTGAATCTTCAGTCTCTGTCTAGCCTGTGCTAGCCAGACCTGTTTGGGGAAACAAACTCCTGATCAGAATCTGTGGGTTTGGCTGACTCCTTGTCTAGCCAGCTGGAGCCTGGAGTTGCACTTGTGGGCAACCCGCAGCAGGTATTTTGTGATCTCTGAGGGGAATTTTTGTCTTTAAAATTCAGTGTTCGTAGTCTTTTAACTATTCCTGTTTACTGTATTTCTGAGCTGGGTGGGGCTTCTGGTGTTTACATACAGGAAACCTTGACTCAGAGCCCATCTGTTCAGTAGTTGGAGAAAAGTCAGGGGGAGTGCTCAGGCTGATAATTGATTTGGGGATTTGATGGGTGTTTAAAAACTGAAAACTCCTTCAGCCACCATGCAGATAAAGCTAATGTCTTCAAACATGCTACTCATGGTAGCGCACCAAATGTCATCTTTTGCTTTCCTGAACTTGGGTATTTAATTTCAGATGTCTGCCCTTCCAGTGAGATGGGGAAGGGGGTGTCTCCTTAAACACCGGATTCTTGATTCAGGATCTTCTTAGAGGATCTGGGCTGGGAGGGTGGTTGCTACTCGGAGGAGTGGTTTCAGACTTGGTATCCACAGTGGCTGGTGCCAATTTCAGGGAAGTCTCTGACCAGAGGACACACTGGAGCATGTGGTGGGGGTGTGTCACAGGTCTTGTAAGCCCATCTGCTGTGTTCGGATCGGAAGTTTTCCCCAAAGACCCACGTGTTCAAGGCTCAATTTCCAGCTTGGCGCACCAGGGTTGGTGGGATCTTTAAGAGATGGGGCCTGGTCGGAGGTCTTAGGTCATGGGGGTGTGCCCTTGAAGAGATTGTGAGGTCACAGTCTCTTCTTCTTTCTCTACTTCTCTTCCCAGCCATAGGTGAGCAGTTGTACTCCATCACATGCTTCTGCCATGATGTGCTGCCATAAGCCCAAAGCAATGGGCCAACCAACCATGGACTGAACCCTCCCAAACTGTGAGCCAGAGTAAACCTTTTCTCCTTATAAGTTGATTGTCTCAGGTACTTGTCATGGTAACAGAAAGCTGACGAACATACCATCCCTTTGAAACTTCAGGACAAAGGCTAGAAAGGTTGCCAAGAGCCTCTGGGGACCCAAAAGATGACAGAAATTGTCTCATTAACCTCTGTATCCCCAGTGTAAGGTCTTGTTAGTGCCTAGAGAAAAATAGGAAGTCAGTAAAGATCTATGAAACCTATGAACTGAGCATCATGTTGGTTGGTATGAATGGAAAATTCAGATCAAACTCTCAACTCCAAGTAAGCCAATTTGCATACAGTCCTCCACCTTCCTTGTTCAGTAACCAAAGCAAAAAACCCAACCCTGTTTATTACACTAATTAATATCAAATAATAAAATCTCATACATAATATTATTTGTATGATTTGGGATTTATCAGTCCTAAAAAACAGAAGCAATTATGTCATCCATCTCCTGGCCACCTTGACCCTAAATATTAAAAGCCCCCACTTTTTGCCATCAGGTGTGTTTCTGAATAAACTCTAAAAAGTTAAGTAAGGCAAATCACTTGTATTTTGTATTATACACACTGTATACTTTTCAAAGCATATCTATATCATTTTAGTATCATAACCACCTGATAAAATCAAAGAATTCCTACTTTACAGAGGATAAAACCAAGGCATGGAGAAGTGAACTGATTTGGTTACCCAAGTTAACATGAGAGTTTGGGTCTTTATTACTTCCCTACTTCTCTGGTTGAGTAATTTCCTCCTTTTTCTCTTTCTTTCTTTCTTTCCTAAAGATTGAACTCAGGGTGTCTCATGTGCTACATAAAGTGATCTACCACTGAGCTACCACCTAGCCTTTTTTATTTTTGATTTTGAGCCAGGATTTCACTAAGTTACTAAATTGCTCAGACATGTCATTGCTTGAACATGTCATCCTCCTGCCTCACCCTCCAGAGCAGCTGGTATTACACACATGTGCCACTGCACCTCACTAAATAATTTCCTATTTGAAAGCACCTTTAGAAGTTTAAAACTTCACACCTCCATGCTGCTTGTTAAATTAGTCTCTTAGGCACATAGTAGCTAGTGCGGACATCCAGAATGCCTGTCATCCACCAGCTACTTCTCTTCTGGGGCCAGACTTTATGTCCCCAGCAGCAGCTTTGTAGATTCTGTGCTGTCCAGGGACATTGGCCCAAGGCATAGAATTCCTCTCAGAAGTTTGGAGGCTTATGTTGTGGGTTCACAGGCACAAGGGATGGGTATAAGAGAAAGAGGTGGAGTAACAGGACAGACAGCTCATTCTAGGTCCCAAGTATCCAGGGTCTGCAGGAGCAGAATGTTGTCCAGGTGTAGCACTCTCCTGCCATTGAAATTTGGCTCCTGGGGAGACATATTCAGGTGTCTTTCTGTTCTGCCACCACCTCGCCAAAGCTTTGCTGCTCCTCAGAGCATGGAGTGCTGATGTTCTGACACTAGCAATTAGGTGAAGTTCCAGAAGAGCTGCATTTTGCCTTTCAAAGTTCTTTAAATCTCCCAGTGAAGATAGTGTGTGTGGTTTTACACACATAGTGCTATTTAGTAATTTATGTTATAGGCAGAATGCATGGAGTCCGATCTGTATAAAACCTTTATTTTTATATGGCATTGTCCTTAAATCATAGGAAGTATCTTTCTCTTTATCTTGGATGATCATTTGGGGCAAATCCTTGGTGTGTGTGTGTGATGCTGGGGGTGAAACTCAGGGCCTTATGCATGCTAGGCAAGTGCTCTATGACTGAGTCATATCCACAGCCTAATTGCTAACTGATATAAAATGTGTATAACATAAACTAGCCTTAACCATTTGAAGTATTGTGCAACCACCACCTCTATCAAGTTCCAGGACATTTTCATCATCCCCAAAAGGAACCCCATCCCCATTAGCAGTCCTTCCCCATTACTCCAAACCAAACCCTGGCAACCATTCATCTGCTTTGTCTCCTATTCTGAATATTTCCTATAAATGGAACCATACAATATGTGGTCTTTGGGTCATCTCCTTTCACATAACACAATATTTTCAACTTTCATCTACATGGAAGCATTATCAGAATTTCATTTCTTTTTGGTTTTTTTTCATTTCTTTGTGTCTTTTTTTCATTTCTTTTGACTTTCGCTTACTCTTTGACTTTAAAAAGTCCTATGGTGATTTTCTTTGGAAATGCTGTCTTAGTTACTTTTCTTATTGCTGAGACAAAATACCCAATACCAAAAGTTAAAAGAGGAAAGGTTTATTGGGGCTCACAGTTTGTAAAGGTTTCAGCTCATATAAGGCAGGTAGCATGGCAGAGGAGAAACAGTTCGTGGTCACATGGTCACACGGCAGAGGAGAAACAGCTCATGGTGGGAAGAAGGCAGCAAAGCAGCAAAGTAGTGAGGAAGCAGCAGCAGCCTGCCCATCCCTTTTATCCCTTCCAGTCTACCCGTCCTTTGGGTAGTGCCACCCATACCCAGGGTGGGGCTTTCCATTGTCCACACTTAGAACTATGCTAAACCAATCAGTGAACTAATTTAGTAATCACACTCCCACAATCTCAGCATCACACACTTAATTCCAGCATCACATGCCCTAGATCCAGCCACTTCTGCAAAGTCCCATCTGTGACCACATGAGGCTTTAGGCAGACATCTAGATACAAGCTCTCACATGCCATAACTTATATCTGAAATGTTCCTCCAAAGTCTAAATTCAGAGGTGGGACTTTTAGAAGATGATTAGATTGTGGGCATTCGGGGCTATAGTTATCAATAGACTCATCCACTGGTGAGTTCACGGCTGATTGTGCTGTCAGGAGGTGGGGCTGGGTTGGAGGCAGGTCACTGGAGGTGACCTTGAAGCATGTATTTGTTATGGTTTGTGTCTGGGTGTCCCCCCAAAGCCTCATGTGGTCATGGGGCAGGCTTTTAGAGTTTGATTGATTATGGGTGTGAGAGCTACACCCACCCTGGGGTGGATAGTTTGCATATGTAAGGGAGAGGAAAAGGGTGCTTGAGGCCATTCTTCCCCCATTCCTCCCTGAGAGGGCAGTGTGTGAGGCTGTGAGTGTGAAGCAAAAGGTGCACTGGAGACCTCAGAAGTTTAGAAAATCCAGGACCATGGATCATCTAAGGAAAGCTGCAGGGATGGAGCAAAGCAAGCCTAAGAGAGAAGCCATGGAAGCTGTAACCACCAGAAATGCCACAGGGGTGGAGTCATTCAAGCCCTTTGGAGCTCACAGTGTGCCACAAGTTGCTTCAGATGCTGGTCATGGAACTACAGGACATAATGTTAGCCCTGCTGGATTTTGGACTTGCTTTGGTCCCAGTGCTCTGTGTCCCCGTGTTTGTACCTTTTGGAATGGTACTGCTTATTTTGTGCCATTAAATGTTGGAAGTGTTTAACTTTTCGTTTGTACAGGGGCTCACAGCTAAGAGTTTGCCTTACATTTTGGGGGAGATTTGGGACTTGGACTTTTCAGCAATGCTGAAACTGTTAGGACTTTGGCAACTCTTGCAGACGGACTAAATGCTGTTTGTATAAAGGGATGGACATGAGTCTTTGGGGGGCCAGGGGTGGAATGTTATGGTTTGTGTCTGGGTGTCCCCCCAAAGCCTCATGCGGTCATGGGGCAGGCTGTTAGAGTTTGATTGATTATGAGTGTGAGAGCTGCACCCGCCCTGGGGTGGATAGTTTGCATATGTAAGGGAGAGGAAAAGGGTGCTTGAGGCCATTCCTCCCCCATTCCGCCCTGGTATGTGCTTGTTGCTTTGCCGCCTTGAGCTGTAGCCCTCTGCTATGTGCCACTCTGCCTTGTAATCTGCCAAGTATGGACTGAAACCTCCACAAACTGTAAACAAAATAAACCTTTCCTTCCTTAATTTTGGGCGTCAAGTATTTTGTCCCAGCAATGAGAGAAAAGTAACCAAGACAGTATTCTTATCCCTGCTCCTCTTTTCTCTCTTCTTCCTGGCTGCCATGGTAGGAGCACTTGTCCTTGGTCATATCTTTCGCCATGCCATTTCTGCCTTGTGGCCAGAGGACCATGGACTGAACTCACTGGAAACTGTAAGCCAAATTTGCCTCTTGTCCTTTAAACTGTGGGAGTCAGGTATTTTGTCCCAGTGGTAGGAAAGTGACTAATCTATCATCATCTGAAAACTTTTTTTTGGTACCAGGAATCGAACTTAGGACCTTGCACTGGTCAGGCAGGTGCTGTGCCCCTGAGCTATATCCCCAGTCCTTAATATATCATTATCTAACTCAGAAAATGAAACATCCAGTCCAGTCCTCACTTGTCTTGACTCAAAGGTGAGACTTCTGCACCTCCTCCTGCCATGGTCAGTGGCAGGAAGGCTACCTCCATTGGCAGGGAGTGTGGGAGGGTGCAGACTGAGATCCTCCTCTTCCTTCTCTCATTTCTGGTTCTGGCCTCTGTGGGCTGGAGTGTGGGAATGGAAAGCAGGGAAAGGGGGAGGATAACTGCCCCTCAATTGGCCTTACAGTAAGAAGGCTTCCAATTCTCTGAGCCTGGTGGGTATTTCACTACACTTCTCAAGTGGGAATGTCCTTGGCTGCTGGGGGTCGGGGGGATGGCTCCTGCAGGTGACCATGATTACAAACACCCTGAAGTAGGCTAGGTGTTCTTTCCTTTCTCCTTTGTCTGTGGAGTCCCAGGATCTTTCCAGACTGTCTGCTTGAGCAGGATTTAAACTCCCCAGGCTGGTCTCTCTACCTGGGAACTAGGAAGCCCTAAAATAGCTGAAGTTACATGGAAGTATTTATACATTGAGCAACAAATTGGTTTCATGATATTAGTAGTTCTATAAAATACTTCCACTCAAAAACGATACTTAAAATTCTTCCTCAAAACAAAAATAGCAAATGTGAATAAGTGTAAAATTTTAAAGGTGTTTATATCAATTACGCAAACATTTAAAAAACCTAAATTGAATATTGCTTTTGGCCCACAGTCAGGTACTTCCATGCTATAGCTTATTCTAATGCTGTGTCAGAAATATTCTTCTGAAGAATGTGCTTTGCTTTGTTTTTTTTTTTTCAATTTGGGCTCATTATTTTTAGATTTTCATAAAGTAGACATTTTCTTCAAAGTTGCATTTAGTTTTTCATAAATTTGAAATTGCTGTCACCTTCACTTTTAATGGAGAAATTATTCTTTGAAGGCACTGAGGTTCCTGGTGAGCTTAAAAGAAATTCTGCTAAATTAAAAATATTCTCATTTCTAATTTATTTCATAATAAAATGTATAAATATTTTAGCCAAATATTTTCACAGAAACTATCTTTTGACCTCTTTAAAAAGTACCTTTCTTTGATAAGAAGTGTTGCTATAAGATTTTTTAAATGCCAGGTGTGGTGGTGCATGTCTATAATCCTAGCATTTGGGAAGCTGAGGCAGGAGGATTGCCATGAGTTTGAGGCCAGCCTGCACTACATAGCAAGATCCTCTCTCAGAAAAAATAAAATAAAAACAAATAAAGATTTTAAAAAACATCAAATAAAACATTTTATGATTCTTTTGAATGTACAGTTATATTTTATACCTTTCTCAATTTTATCCCATTCTAGCAAACAATATTATTTTGTACAAGTAAAAATGATAGCTTCATCTAAATATTCTCCCCTCAAATTGAGATTTCCCAAACCACAGCTCCAGACCACACTCTGATGCCCTCACCCTTGAATTTGTTCAATTCCTCCCTTGTTTTCTTCTAGGCTAAATCTCCATACATTCCTATTTGCAAATTTTATTTCCAATCATTGTAATTTGCTAAGTTTCCAAAGCTCAGGTTTTATCTTACTAGTGCATTCATTGAGAACTTTAATGAAATACTTGCAAATAGTTGTTGGTCAAAACGTACACTTGAAAAGTCTGGTACCATTGTATGACTCAAGCTTACCTAAAAAGCACAGGTAGCCATCCATATCCACAGATTCTGCACCAAGAATCCAACCAACTGCAAGTTGAAAATATTTGGAGAAAAAAGTTGTTCGTGTACTGGAAATACACAGAGCATTTTCTTTAGCACTATTTCCAAAACAATATGATATAACGACTATTTAGATAACACTGACATTACTTGTGGTATTACAAGTAACCTGTAATGGGAAGTGGGTTATATGCAAACACATCACCATTTCATATGAGAGACCCTTGCATCTGTAGGTTTTGGTATCCACATGGGGTCTTGGAACCAAAGCAAGTTTATAGTTCTACAAAAGCACAAACATTTCTAAAATCTGATTAGTGGTTTGCAGTAGAAAAAGCAAGCATGTGCTACTGTGCCAAAGATTTTTATTAAATATTGCTTCAGCTTTATCACAGTTACTCTGAGTGTATATAAAAATATTTGCAGCTTTTAACAACTGCAACTGCTATTTCAGTTGGTAAAACATCACAGCTGTTCTGAATGAATTAGACAATACTGTATATGTTCATCACAACCAATTCCGGGGTCATTGCTCCCTGGTATTTAAATTTAGTGAAAACACTATTTTTATCATGAAATTGTATTTCACCAAAATATATACTTGTGTTGAGACCGCAAAAGCAATTTTATCTTCAATGCCAGACATTTAATTAAATTTATGATAGTGTTTACATTCATTTCAGATGTTTCATCTGTGGTAGAATGTTCTTCCTAGGGCTTTATTTTGATTCTAAGAAATTATTGGAAAAAAAACAAACCCTCATTAGAGTTAAGTGATCTTGTGCTTGACACATCAGATGGCATCAATATCAAGTTGGCATCATGTAATGTTTGCAAAGTTGTTCTGCCAGTGGAGCCCACACATTGACAGTTATCACTTCTTGTACACGTACAAGAAAACTTGGAATGAAAAATGAGCAAAAATAGTTTTTTTATTATGGTAAAAGTATACATAACATAAAATTTACCATTTTAATTCTTTTGTTTACTTTTATTATTTTTTAGATGGCATAATAATTGCACCTACTTAACGTAGACGTTCCACCCCCAGCACTCCAGAAAGCTTACATGTTTATGAGGTACGGTGTCACATAGATGTACAGTTTGGTGGCATTAAGTATATTCACACTGCTTCAGCCATCACTGCTATCCTTCTCGAGTGTTTCCCCCTTCCCAGGACTTTGTTATTATCACCAACTGGAATTCTGTACCTACTAAACAATAACTCCCTGTATTTTCCTCCTTACCCTCAGCTTTGGTACCCAGTGATCTACTTTGCTTCTCTATGAATTTGACTACTGTAAGTATCTTATGTAAGTGGACCTACATAAGAATTGTTTTGTGATTGGCTTATTTCATTCATATTGTTCATTCATATTGTCACCTATGTCAGAACTTATTCCCTTTTTCAAGCGAATAATGTCCCACTGAAGATACGTATCATCTTTATGTTTCTTTCAGCTTTTGTCTGCTATGAACATGGGTACACAATATCCAATCGAGTCAGTTACTTTTGAGTATATGCCCGGAAGGGGAATTGCTGGGTCACGTGGTCATTCTATGTTTAAATTTTTTGAGGAACTGGCAAACCATTTCCACACTAGCTGTGCTCCTTTACATTTCCACCAGCAATTCACAAGAGTTTCAATTTCTCTACTTCCTCTTCAACTCTTATTATTTTCTGTTTTCTCATAATAGCCATCTTGCTGGGTACAAAGTGCTAGCTCATGGTGGCTTTGATTTGTACTTTCCTAATTGTTATAGCACAAATCTAAAATGTTCCCCAAAAGTCTCATGTATTCTGAGTTAGGGCTTTGATAAGGTGATTGTGTCCTGAGGATTCTAATTTCATCAGTGGATCGGTCTATCAACAAGATCATTATTTGATGGCATTTTTTAGACGGTAATGGAAATTTAGGAGGTGGGACTTACTTGAAGGAAGGGCCTGGGTCACGGGAGCATGACCTTAGGGAGTTTGTCTTATCGCCAGCCCCTTCCTCGCGGGCTCTTTCCTGGCTCCCTACGTCCATGCTGCCATGACAGGAGCGGCTTTGTTCTGTCATGCCCTTCCGCCATGATGGAGCCAGCTGAAACCTCTCAAGCCATGAGCCAAAATAAGTCCTTCCTCCTTTAACTTGTTTATGTCAGGTGTTTGGTCACGGTAAAAAAGGTAATAAATAGCACACCAATAATTAGTTGAGCATCTTTCCATATGCTTTTTGGCTATTTATATGTCTTCTTTGGAGAGAAATGTCTATTCAATTCCTTTGCCCCCAAAATGAGAGAGATTAATTTTAAAAAGTAATCATTTCATTGCAACAAAAAGTCAAGGTGTATAAATGCACTTTGCTGAGGCTGCGTGTGTTGGGCTGTCCCGTTTGGGTAGCATGTCCGAAGAACAACCCCTGCCTGCAGGTTTTTCTCTTCTGGTTTTCATGTGGTCAGTGAACCCAGCCCACGTGTGGTGCTGGCAGACGTCAGCATGTTGTGATGGGCACATGTTCACCACCAGCTTCCTTGAGGAGCTAAAATGTACTTTAAGTTGTCATTAAATATGCACACACATGTTTTTGAGCTCACTGTGGCTGGAAGGGTTTACTGAAAATGTATAAAAAACATGACCCAAAACTATAATGAGTAAGTAGAGAGCTGCACCATATTATAAATGACAACAGCACTAGCAAGAACACTCAGGCTTCTCTTCTAAGCGCTCAGAAAAGAATGCTCAGCCTCTATGCCCCGCATGTATTTATATGCACCTTCTCTATGATTTCCCCTATTTCCCACTGACACCATCAACCAGTAGCCTGGTGGCTTCAGGCATTTTGCCGGCCACAACAAAATCTACTGGCACAGGCCATTGGCACCAGCATCTGGCGCACCAAGTGCCTACGGGGTCAGCAGCATCAAATCAAATACTTTCTCCTTCACCTAGACAGACTGGCAGCAGTTGGCTTTCCCTAATTATTCATGTTGTAGCATATGCAATGTGTGAGCACCCTGCATGCTATCCTTGGAAAAGAGGTGTTGGTTAATTTTGTATGACAAGGGAGAGAAATATTGCTAGGAAACAACTGGCCTTCACCACAGATTAGAGTGTTTGCATGTTGCTATGGTTTGAATGTGTCCCTCAACATTTTGTGTGTTAGAAAGTTCATCCCCCAATCCATATATTAATGGTATTTGAGGGTGAGGCCCATGGGAGGTAATTGGTATTAGATGAGGTCACGAGGAGGAGGGACCCAGGAGAGCATTAGAAGCTGTCTAGGAAGAGGATGAGAGACCTGAGTTAGTACCTAGCTTGCTCTGTCTCACCATGTGTTGCTCTCCACCACAGTACAGCAAGAAGCCCCCACCCACATGCTGATATGACTTCCCAGCTTCCAGAACTGTGATCCAAATAAACTTCTAGTCTTTATAAATTACCCAGTCTCAGGTATTCTGCTATAGCAACAGAAAATAGACTAAGGCACATGCAATACACACAACTGATGAAACCACAGTGGAAGTTAGAAATACCGAGTGGAGATCTGCCAAACCCACCCAATTTGTTCTGTTGGAACCATTAATATAATATGATGTGCCTTGCTTAAGAATAAATGCTACATGGTGAATATACTAAATGCCACTAATAGTATGTTTTAAAGTGATTAGTAGTCAATTTTATGTTACGTGAATTTTGCAACTCAATAAAACAAAAGTAAAAAGTTTTGAATGGACAGGAAGAATAGTTTTTGAGATCTATTGGTTTGCATACTTCAAAATAAAAATTTTTAAAAATTAAACAAAACAATGAAATGCTAAATGGTAAGGAGAACAGGAACTGGAAGAGGAGGAGAGAAAAGAGAAGTAAAAATAATTAAGATGTGTGCTGTACAAGTACCAACTCCCCACAATGAATGTACAGCAAACATGTGCTAATAAACATGAAATAAAATAAAAATGCAATGCTGAACCAATGAGACTAAACTGGAACCATCTCAGGCAGACTGGGGCAGGTAGTCAGTTACCAATGGCCATATCTGATGCACAAGAAAACACAAACATCTTGCCAGGAAGACCTCTGGTCCCCACACAGGCAGCAATTCCACTTTACTACTCCACCAAGGGAGCTCTCAAACCCATCTCCACTGCCTTAAAGATTTTCCAGGCAGGAGTCAAACACCAATCCACAATGTTCCTCAATGGCTTGACCACAAAAAATAAGAGACAGAGAGCTCACTTCTTGGAGATACCTTCCACTTCACTGCTGAGCAACATGGAACCTGTCAGCGCTCTACAGAAGCAGCTAAAGGACAAGTTTTGGAGGCAAACTGCCAGAGTAACAGCCCGGTCCTCTGCTTAGCAGCTATATGAACCTGAGGAGGTTATTTAGTTGCTCTGTGTCAGCATCTGAAAAACGACATGAGTATTTGCCTTATTCTATGAGGACTGATTAAAAATAGGGGAAATGTTCAAATTTATTGCAGTAAAAAACACACTGCTTTTCATCCCTATGAAAATACTCCGCCTTGCTTTGAATACACTTATCCCATCATTCTTGGCACTTTCTTTTTCTTTTTGGGGGAGAATGGGGTTGAGACAGGATGTCACTCTGTAATTCAGACTGGCTTTGAACTCGCCAGATAGCCCAGGCTCACTTCAATCGCACAAGGATCCTCTTGCCTCAGCCTCCCAAGAGCTGGGATGACAGGCATGCTCCACCACGCCCAGCTCTTGCTGCTTTCTTAAGCAGTTTTGGAAGTCCTCTTTTTTCGTCTTTAGTTGTGCTACCCTGGCTGCCTCCGTGTTTTAAATTGATTCAAAACATTGCCCTTCTGTGAGTTCGATTCCCCGTACCGGGAAAAAAAAAAAAAAATTGCCCTCCCATGGTCATTTCGACCTTGGGAAAAAGTCAGAAGTCACACAGTATCAGATCAGTAAATAAGGTGGACGAGGACACACTGCAATGTTTTTATGAGCCTGCCTTTCCTTTGGATGGTACTTGACATCAGCATTCACTGTATTTTTTTAAATCACCTTATAAAGACACTCCTGAAAGAAGACTTCCAGAGCTGCTTCAGAAAGTTGCAAGAACAGTGGGGTAAGTGTGTTTGAAGGAAAGGGGAGTATCTTGAGGGGAATTAATGGCAATATGTCTTTTCCTGTAATAACTGTTTTTATTTTAAGCATGCATCATCTAGTTTGGTTACTCTTTGTATGTTGAGTTGCCAGATAAATTCAAATTCATTATTTCAATTGTAAATAACAAGTGATCTTTTAGTGTAAATATGTCCCAAATTTAACTGGAAGTTTGGGTTTTTATTTACAACCTTTGGCAACCATACTAGTGTAGCAATTATTAGAATGTCTGGCGTGTAGCAAGTTACCTGTACAGAGTTGCTGTGGCTGATGTTGTTAAGATTTTTGACCATAAAGCACAGAAATGTTACAGCACAAGGAAAGGGCCTTGGGTGTGTAGGGACAGAACTGTTCTCCATATTTCTCAGGTGCCTTGTGATTTTCATTTCACCAGCTCACATCAATAACTTGAATCTTCACCATCAGAGTCTCTTGTCCCATCTTTCTCTGGACTTGGCTTCCCTCTAATGTCTGACCCAGCACGACCACCATGCTCACATCTGCACTACCTAGAAGATGCTGCCCTATCTTATTTTGGGTCAATCCAAGAGCAGGCCCTAAGAGAAAGGATTTGTAGTGGATTGATAACTGGTGATCAACTTGTAACCCCCAGCTGAACTGAGTGAGAGGTGCTGGGTGTGGGAGGCCCACCTGAGGATTGTTGCCAGCAGCATAAGAGGCAGACCTGGAGAAGAAGCAAGGCTGTTGGGAGCTGAGAGGGGCTGTGGGGAGCTGGCTTTCCTGATGAACTTGGCTGTTTTCATCCTCCGAGGAGCTCGGGACCTCGCTGGCACTGAGAATGGTTTTGGTTCACTTTGGGGAGCTCTGGTCCTCACTTTGAGCATAGCTTCCTGGTTCCAGAAGGGAAGATGGTGCACTGCCATCCTCCAGGGAAAGCTTGCTGCGTCGGCTTCCCTGATTGGAACTCGGCCATCCTGATCATCGGAGGAGCTCGGAGCCTCACTGTTGCCGAGGATGGCTGTGGTACCTTTTGGGGGAGCTCTGGTTCTTCTGAGCATCACTTCCTGGCTCCAGTACAGATCCCTCAGCCTGCTAGCACAGGTCCTTCTTCCTGCTGGCACAGACTTGTAGATTCCACTACTGACCTTTGGGCCTTCCCAACAGATCCGTGAAACAGGTTTGCATGAGATGTTGTCATGGGCTCTGGGCCTCCA